CAGTGCGTGTGCGTGTATCTCCATGGTTGGGGGGGGGAGATTATTTTATTTTATGCTTTCTAAAGAAACTACTATAAAATGTTATGTTAAAAGTACAAAAAAGTGGTACATTTTTACAAAAACCTCATCTGTATTTCTGTTTTCAGGCCATCCGTTATTAGATTTGCACTTATTATTATTGTATTGTTAGAAACTAACAAACAAAACAAAAAAAAAATCTATCTGTTGAATCAGATTACTTAATCCCTTTGCCTGTTTAGTTGTGTTTTACTTCCTGCTTGATTTGCTAGCTGTTCTGTGTCTGGTACTGACTTTAACTTGCCCTGTCTCGTTATGTTCATCATCTTCAGCTGTGTTAGTTCTCCACACATTACTTCTCCCATTTGTCGTTTGTTGTGTTGTATGTGTAGTTGTGTGTCCTTGTAGTAGAACATTTCCTGTATTGGGATTCCTAGTGTTTTCTGAGTCTGGATTCCCTGTGCTTCTTGTACATTCCAATAAATCTTGGATGTTTGGATTCCGTGGTTTTGCTCTTTGTTCATCCCCAGATGTTAGACTTTGTAATTTCTTGACTTATCAGCATTAAAAGCTTGTTAATATTTTACTCCTGTCTTCTGCATCCTGTATTTGTGCCGGTAAATTACCACCATACACGCACAGTCTTTTCTATGACACATTGCATCCTTATTTATAATATTTAATTTTTAATTATTACATTTCACTTTATTGCGCAGTAACTGTGAAAACCCCACAACTTCTTTTATACACTGAAGATGTTTTCTATTGTAAAAGGAAAGTTAGAAAAGTACAAGTACAAACACATTTGTGACTGCAGAAGCAGATTCTAACGGGCATTTGACCTCTTAAAGAACTAGTGATAGAGAGAAAAAGCTTGGACACTAAACAGAGTAAAACCACAGCAAAACAATGTTAGCAGTCACAAAAACCTGAAGCCTAGCAAAAGCTTATCAAAGCATTTAGCATTCATTGGTTTCTGGGTGTCATTTTGATGGTTGCTGGGGAGTAAACACACAAAGGGGAATCAGCAGAAGTCAGCTCCTTCGGGTTTAGTGCTTAAGTTGCTTCAGGATAAAAGACCACACTTGACTGTTCAACCGCAGGTCAGTCACATTAATAATCTAAGACTCCGCTTTGGATGGATAGCTACTGAAGCACACGTATGCAGAAGCACATTCGTGTATACACTATTGCCATATCCATGAGAATCAGCACATCATTGTTAAGTAACAAAAAGACTAATTCACAGTTCTAGAGTTTTCATTGTGCAAATTACATAGTTGATGTCAGCCTCAATCAATGATTTAAAAAGCAAAACAACTGTCATTAAACGTATTTAGCTCATCTTTCTGAGCTGTCTATTGATTAAACATTTGCTGAGCATTTCCCTGCCTTTTAACTCTAAAAAACAGTTTTATTCTC